GTACCAAACCTCTCCTTCTCCTCCCTTTTTTTACCAGATGCTCATAATACATTAAAACATCCATAGTGTAATACATTAAAATGCAATGTTTATTTAAAATAGTTTAAAAAAACACTCACAAAAGTGATAATGTGATCGCCTGTAACAAATCTTCCCTCCCAGAGCAGCTGGGGGCGGGTTACACAGAATCCAACAGCCTGATATACCAAACGTCCGTTTAGAAATCTTCCAGGCACAATCTCTACACTTCCTGCTGTCTAGTGGGTGACGTCCGCATCTACCCACTGACGTGTTTCATCAGGTGACTTCCTCGGGGTTGGGCTACAAGCTGATGTCACTCAAGTCCTTATATATCTCCTGTCCTACAATCAATCCTTTTGCTTCTTCTTTTGCCTGTCATTTTACAAATGCCCACTAGATGTCACTAGGTGTTAAGTGCAGATGTATCTTCCCCTATCAGAACCCCCCCATGAATGCATTCATTAAATACTGTGAATAAATACATAAAATAATTAAAATACATTAACAACTTCTTCTTACTAGAATGATAACCCATTCATAACATCTTTAAATATTCGCTCATAGTGCTAAACAATAATACAAAAGATCAATTTACCATAAATATGACAAATATAAGTGAACAGAGTGCTATAGTGCCCCCAATACATAATATAATATATAAAAGTGCTAGAGGGCCCCTCAATACTTGGTCTCTCATACTAAGTTGAGATAAGGTGCCCCTATGAGTGCAAATTGATGTGCTCACTACTAAATATTATAAATCTTTGCCTGAAACAAACAAAAGTTAGTATCACAATCTTAAACCAGTTTTAAGCCTAGTTATTTGTAATGAAACAGTTTAAATCCAACTCAACATTTAATCCTTTAGGTTGCATTGTATCCAGAATTACATTTCATTTAGTTTAATTCTGGGAGATGCCGTATTTTGCGCTCCATAAGGCGCAACAGACCATAGGGCGTAGGTTCTGTGACAGGTTCTGTGACAGAAGCTGCAGTTAGTGATCGCTGAGACAGGTGGTGCTGTGATTACAGCGCCACGGTCTCAGTGATCACACAGAGCAGACGAACGGACGTTCTTCGTCTGCTCTAGGGGCTCTATGGTGAGCTCCTATGCCGTGGTCACGGGTCCCCCCAGATGAGCGTCACTTGTATTAAACGAGCAGCGGCTCCCACTGTACATTTAGCTCTGCTTTAGCAGGGCTAAATGTACAAAAAACTACTCGCCCGGCGCCCGAAACTGCATTTACGGGCATCAGGCGATAGGGATTCACTCCCTATCCACTCCCTATAAATCGCACACACATTTTCCCCCGCCTTTTGGGGGGGAAAAGTGTGTCTTATGGAGCGAAAAATACTTCATATTAACCCCTCTTCTGTTCTTTCCTATTTTATTAGTCCCATAAAATATAAGATATCACGGAATATACCTATGAATGTTTCTTGATAACATTTTTCTAGACTGAACATTTGACTTTTATTTTAGCGCTGTGCATTTGGTTTGATTGATATAAGAAAGAGTTGGCACAGCAGATTTTAACCCCTTCATGACTGAGGCCTTTTTTTCATGTTTCATGTTTGCACCCATGTTATATTCCACATTTTAGGCCTGAAAATAACTTAAAACCCCCAAACATTATATATTTTCTGAAAGCCAAGACACTATAGAATAACATGGTGGCAGATGCAAATTTTTATGTTGCACGATATTAGCACAACTCCTTATCAAACCCCAAAATTTAGTGAAAAATGTACTTAAATGCTCCAAACACAATAAAATACCCTTTTTTTAAATAATATATAAAAGATGAGGTTACAATGAGTAAATAAATACCCAACATGCCCACGTTAAAAATTGTGTGTGTCTGTAAAACGGCGACAAAATTCAGTACCCCAAAAAGTCCATAGACGACACTTTAAAAACCCCTACAGGTCATCAGTTTAGAGATATCCAAAATACTGGCCCTAGAAGTATTGGTTTCACTCCAGTGTGCACAGCGATACATAACATGTGTAGCGCATTCGTCGTTTTCATACTAAGGTGACGCGTGTTTACATGAAGACGCGCATGCTCGCGAAGAACTTTAAAAATGTTTTTTTATTAGTTTTAGATTTATTTTATTTAATGTTAATTATCAAAACTGGGTCCTGGGCCCGTAGGAGGGGCAACGGTGTGAATGGCGTTACGCTGATAAGGGAACCAAGGCATTTGGTTTGCCTCGGCATGCGCCCTGAGATGAAAGGGCGCAGCCGCGCAGGCTGAGCACAGAAGCTGCCAAGCTTCCAGAACAGCCTGTGTGTCTTCCCTGATACCCAGGCCGGGCCGGCGGAATGACAATCTCTCCCTGGACCCCGCGGGCGGGCAGCCGGCCGATTGATTGCTATATGTTGTTTAGGGCGGCTGGGCCTATTTTAACTGCTTGAAGACCAGGTGTTTAGATCCCCTTCCCATCCAGGCCATTGTTCAGTGTTCAGTGCTGCGGTACTTTGACATTTATTCCGTCATGCAACGCTGTACTGAAATACATTTTATACAATTTTTTGGGGACAGATAGAGCTTTCTTTTGGTGATGTTTAATCACCACTGCGGTTTTTCTTTTTATACTATAGTTCGGGAAAATTACAGAAATTTTTTTTTAAAAAAAAGTTGTTTTTTTTACATTATGTTAGGAAACGTTTATTATCACCCAATTTTTTGATAAAACATAAAAGACGGGGTCACGTCGAGTAAATAGACACCAAGCATGTCAAGCTTAAAAATTGCGCGCACTCGCACAAAACCACCATACCCAAAATTGGCCATAGGCGATGCTTTAAAAAACGTTTACAGCTCATCAGTTTAGTTATCAGTGATTGATGGCCCTAGAATTATTGCTCTCACTGCGACGTTCGCAGCGATATGTAACATGTGCGGCGTAATGGGCGCAATCGTCTTTTTCGCAGGTATGCGCACCGTACGCATGTTTGCATGCGTGTACGTATGGGTGGGGACTTTTTTTTTTTTCCAAGATCTGCTTCATCAGCTTCTCTCCAGCGTCTGAAGCTGGAGAGTGACACAAGAATGTAACATACAACACTTCCGCATTCTTACAGCCGAGAGGGGATCGGAGGGAGATCCTGTACCGACCTCCCTCTGATCCCCTGTGACAGAGGCACTATGCTGGTCCCGGGCTCAGCGGAGCCCGGGATCAGCGTGACAACGGGAGGGGGGGACACGGGCCGATCGCCCATACAAGCGATCCGCCGGCTCTATAGCCGGGGGATCGCTTCTATGTTAACAGGCATCGCTGCTTGTTTTTAAATCAACTGGATTTCCCGCTCGCGCACGCGGCTTATCTAGATAGCTCCAGGCCGGCCGTTCTTTTACAACGGCCGGCTGGGAGATAGTAAAGGTAGGGGCCTGCAGCTCCCCGGCCTTGACACCCAAACGGGCCGTGCCAAGGACCCTGGTGGGCCGGATGTGGCCCGCGGGCCATAGTTTGAGGACCCCTGTGTTAGAGGGTTCCAAGTCCCCATGGGGGTATTCACCCCATCCTGTGTCTAAAGGTTTTCAACACATGTCCCCATCTTCCCTCCTCATCAGCAGTTCATGCACTTTGCAGTGGGAAAACAGCACTTCCAGCTCGTGGCTCATCCCTCTCCCGTCGCACGACCCCTGCCACTTCCCCCCAGGTCTTTGCCAAGGTACTGGCTTGTGTACTTGTGCTGCTGTGTTGTAAGGGAATCCACATTGCAGGGTATATGGACAATGCCTTGAAGGTCAGGGTTTCTCCCTTTCCGGTTAAAACTCACTCGACTATTGTGTCGACTAGTGTGTCAGTGCAGTGTATCAGTGCTTCTTAGGCCTTTCAGCAGAATGTGTCTGTTTCTCAGATTTGCAAGGTCGCCACCTGGTCTTTGGTTCATAAGTGTATGGAGTTTATCAGGTGGATGTTGAGGCCTCTGCTGATGCCAGCATCGGCCGTAAGGTGCTTCAGGCTGCTCTTTGAGTTCATACCTGGTGATTCTCCCAGCAACATACTTCCTGCTCTGTGGTGACAACACTCACTGTAGTGTCTCCATGGAGAAGCAGCATTGTCACCCTAGGGGAGGAAGTTATTTAAGCCCGTGACACTGCACGCAAAGCCGTGCAGAGCAAAGCAAAGCTGTCCGGCACAGAGCTTTGCGTGCAGTGTGTGAGCTGAGTGCAGGCAGATGATTGACTGACTGCACCTTCAGCCAATCGGCTTGTGCGTAAAAAACAGCCAGACGTTGCATGCTGACGCACGGGTTTATACGAGCGAGTCCATTGGCTGAAGATGAAATTTTTCATATCGGCACGCTCAGCTTCGCGAGCTCTGCAAGCTGACTTGCCAAGGAGAAAATTACATGACACACTGCTCGCGAAGGCAGCTTCGCGTGCAGCGTGTCACAGCCTTTAGGATGACAGAACACACCCTCTCTCCAGGAGATGCTCTATAGTTTACAAGGGTGAACAGGGCCAGGCTGATAAGATTTGAGATATCCTGGAGAGTGCACAAGATACAGGATTTCTGGCAGGATCATTTGGGTTTTTATGCACTTATTGAACTGATATAACAAAATGCTTACAATTGTATATTTCACAGACCAAAATGAGCCAAAAGGAGAGTCTCGTTGTTGAGGTTTATATACCAATTAAGTGGTAGGTTCAGTCTAAGGGTTCTTTCTCATTTTGCCGTGGCCTGTAATCTTAACCTATCAGTCCCAGGTTCTTTGTCCACAAAATGTACAGTTAATTTATATTGCTAATTAGTCACATGCTGTGCAGAAGTGTGTTTATTGCCTGGATAAGGAGAAAAAAGGTAGTTACTTTTGGCATAGCCATGATTGGGTTACATTGATTTAACTATTTTTCCTCTCTCTCAGTCCATATTTAGATAGATATATATGTGAGTGTGTGTGTGTGTGTGTGTGTGTGTGTGTGTGTGTGTGTGTATAACATATGTCTGTTTTTTGTCCAGGATGTCAGTAAACTGTCTTTACCCGTGGACATTCTTGCAAAACTCCAGATGCATAATACAGAAGTTGATCCAAAACCTCTGACAAGGATATCACGAAGAGCTTCTTTGGTTAGTGAATATACTGACTGATTTACTATTTATGTGAACATTCCATAAACCAGCTTGGTTAGTGAATATACTGACTGATTCACTATTTATGTGAACATTCCATACACCAGCTAGAATTTCAAATCAGGCTCAGAGTAGGAGTATCTGTATTTACTAAAATGAATGGGATGGCAGAGGGCAGGCTGTATTGACACTCTCTGACAGTCTACTAATGCATGCTTGGATTAGCAAGCTATCATAGACCCATACCTCTATATGCTGATGTTTTGAAGTACCCATAGAGATGAGATGAAAGTTGGTTGATCCAGTCATTTTCCAAGGGAATGGAAAATATCAAGAAAAAATTGGCAATCAGAACAGTTAGAAACACTTTCTGAGTCGCTATTATTCTGCCACTTATAGGTTGGGACTGCCTGATTTTGCCTTCTCTTGCCTTTCTCTTGCCTTCTCTTGCCTTTCCACTTGCCTTTCCTATCAGAATAAGTTGCCCTGCTATGACCGTTAGAAATTCTGACCTAAGGGTGTTCAAAATCATGCATATATATCGGGTTGCCTTCTAAAGTCAGTGGCCTGTCTTTAGCCATTAGGTTATGGAGTGAGACAGTTCTTACATGGCTTAGAGATGGGAAAGGAATATCTGAAATTGCTGCATGCTCAAAATGGATGTACACTTTTCAGGCATGGAGGACATTAGTAGAAGTGAAGACTCGCTGTACAGAAAACAGAATATTTTAAAGTTAAGTAGACACAGTCATATTGGAATAAAATATTTTTATTTGGCCGGCAGTCTACTTTAAATTTATTAACAGAAATCTACAGAGTCACTACAGTACTTGCGTAGTACTTTAAGAAATAGTGTAAATCTGAAATTCAGCCTTACCCTCATTCTTCTACATTTGTACAGGCTTCTTTCCTGTGCTGAAATTGCAGTGTGCATCAGAAGCTGTGGCAGGTCAGATAGAGTCCGTCCCATTTCCTGGCTTGAGGACTTTGTTTCATCTTACCCTTTCCTTCCCAGCCAGACGGTCTCTGTTCCACCACTTTCATACATCGGATTTCAGTTATTTCCACCATGGAGACTCAGCATCGCATGTAGGTGCTAACTATGGCATTTAACGTGCAAATGCAGCCTGTCTAGGAAGGTCCACTTCTCCAGACTGACATCCATCCATCACAACATCTTTCCTCCCAAGTTCACGCCTGCTACTTGCAACAGGCCTGAGAGCTTTTGAGAGGAGGACTGAGGCTTGGGCCTGGGTGACAACCATGGCTCCCTTCATATGTACAGTGGAGAAAGCCAGTATAGCCACTCAGACACAGAAAGTGTATTATTTGCAGATTAAAAAAATAAAAATAAGAAAAAGTCTAAAAAAAAATAACTAATACAAACATTTCATCTAATAAATTTTTGTGTTTACATATGCTTTAAAGGATAAGTTCACCTTTTGCAAAAATTAAAGAAATGCATAATTAATAATTTATTTTTTAAAAACATGCATTTCTTTTGCATTTAAGCCTGGAAAGCATTGCAATCCTGATCACTCCATCACAGCTGCAAAGCTCAGGCTTCTGCACATTTTCAAACTGGCGGAGCTCGTAGGGAGGTGCAGAGTTTCAGTTAGGAGAGATGGGGGAAGGACGGCTGGACTTCAGACTGCATTAAATAACCTCATATGCTGTCTCACTCTAGGTAGATGCTGGAATATGGACAGCTCTAGCTAGAGCAAGGACGGCTGGATGCTGTATGAGGTGATTTAATGCAGTTTCGAGTCCAGTAGTCGTCGTCCCCCATCTCTCCTAACTGAAACTCCGTATCTTTGTACGAGCTCTGCCAGTTTGAAAATGTGCAGAAGCCTGAGCTTTGCAGCTGTGATTGAGTGATAAGGATTGCAATGCTTTCCAGGCTTCAATGCAAATATTAAAGAAATGCATATTTCTTTAATATATTAATTATGCATTTCTTTCATTTTTGCAAAAGGTGAACTTATCCTGTAAGTATTATTTACATCTAATGAACTGTTGTTCCTCCCCTCTGTGCAAGAATGGCATTATCTTTGCATTAGCAACAAAACAGCTGAGAAATGTTTTTTTGTACTTTGCTTGTAGGGGAAAAACATAGAAAGAACCTATATCAGGATCCTGATACAATAATGGTATATAATGAGAGAAATTTTAATTGTATGTAGGAGCTGACATCTCTGATGCAAATCAAAGCAACTCTCTGGGTTAATTTGACTGGCTTGAGAATTGGCACATATTCTCCCCACTGTTGTGCAGAATATCTGCTGATCTGTTACCATCCTAAGTTTAGGTTTGGACATTCCTGTTATGAGAATAAACAATGAAATTGCTTATTAGCCTTTTTCTTGCAGTCCGATATTGGATTTGGAAAGCTGGAGACATATGTGAAGTTGGACAAACTGGGAGAGGTGAGAAATAATCTATTGGACCAACATTCTTTTGTCTCTTTTTCACTTTTATGCCTCTTTCTCTGCACAACCCTTATTGTTTTAAAACATTTTTTTTTTGTCAAATGTAATTGGTACTGTGGTTTGATCTCCTGTCCAGGAGATGCAACAGGAAATAATTGGAAATCTCACCAGAGTGAGAGGAATTCCCAGTTTTTTACGGTTAAGCTAAAATAAATTTTTTTTAAGCCAAACTATTTAACAACTTGTACCTTTTGTCAGCATATAAAGATACCCACTTCTTCAAAATCTCAACTCTTAGTAAAACAGTTTTATGTAATGTTCCAATTTTTGCAACTTAAGGTTCAAAGGCCAAACCAAACAGGGAAGAAGACATTGGGTTTCCCTTATTCTGTAAAAAGGCACAGCTTCAGAAACACATTTATGAGGCCTACTATGGGCTTTTGGTTGGGCACACCTTAACTGTACTTATTCAAATATTATGTCTTAACATCCCTTTGAAAAATATATAACACCAAATGGAAAGCCTTACAAGTTTCAAGGCTTTGACACATGTAAAGCTAGAACCAGAATTTGATTTTGATGATTTTAATATAATCTCTAGTTATGACTGCTAGTATTCCAATCAGAAATAATGCTAGTTTAATCCCCACTAATTGTTTAATTTTATTTCTAAAGATTTTGCAAGCATATGTGCTATTCAAGGGGACAATGTATACTGTAAGTGACTTTGGTTGTATTTCCCGATGTTAAATATTAAGCCAAATATAAAGAGAGATAAAGAGAGAAAGAAGTAAGGCATTTCCTTTTAAAGCTGAACTCCAATAAAACCTCTAAATACACAGTTGTAACATAATTAGGAACTATTTTACCTTAGAAAGTATTTGTATTTCTTATTATTCCTTTCATGAGATTTATACAGTCCTGCTAGACAACACTATCAGGTCAGCAACCTGCATCAGTTAAGCAATACAGTTTGGTCACCTCCAACCTCTGACTGGACCATGAACAAATATCATAGACCGACTAATTCATATTAAACTATTCAATATGCTTTCTCCTCCTGTCAGCATGTTCATTATAGGCACATTAGTTTTGGAGCATACCTAATTGGTCCTAAGTGCTTTCCCTCAGCATAAGTTTTGTTGTGTAGGAGATTACAGGAGGCTCATGCAAGTCAGATTCATACTTGCACTAGTTGCATTTACATATTTAATATTTTTTTTATACATACATAGCTTTAGTAATCCATGCTTCTTTTATATCTGCATTAGGCTGGGTTCACACTTAGGCGTATCGAATATGCGCGTTTGTCCCGCGTTTTGTGCCGCGTGTTTTCTACCGCGATTCGTGGTAAAAAACGCATGACAAACGCGTGTTTCCGAGGGCTACCTGGCTGTATCCCTCCTGTACTTCTTTGAGCATAGGGCGTTTTGCAGCGCATTCCTACGCACTGTAAAACGCCCAGGTGGGAACCATGCCCATAGGCAATCATTGGTTTTCTCATGTTGAGCGTTTTACAATGCGTAGGAACGCGCTGTAAAACGCCCAGGTGTGAACCAGGCCTTAAAGTGACACTAAACTCAGGAGTTAAATCTTAAAAATTAATTCAAGTTCCTTAACTAATAACAAAAATGTAGCTTATTTGTGTATCTCTCAGCTGTAGATACTCAAATCATCTCTGAATTCATTCTGACACTGTCCTTCTTTCTGGAGAGTGGATACTTTTGTTCCCCATGGTCCGTGTGTCTTGTAAAGTAGCCATGCACCAAGCTCACTCCCGTAATGGACTACAATCTCAGTATAAATTAGCAAACTAAACATGAGATTGTAATCTATCATGGGAGTGAGCTTGGACTGGTGGCTACTTTACAACACACACAGGGACCATGGGGAACAAAATTAGCCACCCTCCAGAAGGAAGGATTGGCAATTTTTTCTTTTTACAACTTCCACTTTCAGTTAATCAGATTAATATTGGATGTTGTCTATCTTTTGTCCCAACTTTATTGCATTTATATACGTAGTCTTTAATTTCCTTTTTTATGTAGGCATTAAACGGAGAGGCCTGAATCTGTAGTATCCACTCTCCACAGGACATTGTAGTGATTACTCCATACTTTGCCTGCATTTTACAATGAATTCATAACATGCAAAGTGCAGTGTGGTGTCCTACAGCTTGTTTTCTGCATAGCATTGCAAAAAACATTCCAGTATAGAAGGAAAGCAAGGGCATGACAAGTTTCGCCCTTTCAATACTTTTTTCTAATCATTAAAATTAATGGGTCTTTGCTTGCTTTAGAGCCCTGGAACAAGCAGAGGGAAACGCATATTTGTAAAGCACACAGCTGCACTTTATAAATGTGCATGATATATTTTTTTTTTATTTCGGAAAGCAGTGGTGGGCGCTTTAATATTTATATATGCTATAAATGTGGTGGTGTAGTGTTTTTTCATCAGTAGAGTTGTGTGTTCATACATAGTTATTGAAATTACTTTGGCTTTATTTGAACTGCATGATGGCATCTGTGGTCCCCTATCTTAAAAACTGTCTGTAAACATTTTGCAGGGAACATATGCCACCGTGTTTAAGGGGCGCAGCAAACTGACAGAGAACTTGGTGGCTCTAAAAGAGATCAGGCTAGAGCATGAAGAAGGAGCACCATGCACAGCCATTAGAGAAGGTATGAAAGAAGAAGCAAGTCAATTATTGTTGCAGAAAATATCAATTGATGTAACAGGTAAAAACGTTTGCCTTAAAAACTGTTAACATATTTTGGGAGCTTTACCTAAAGGACCATAGCAAACAAGGGTACAAGTACTCTTAAAAACCTAGACCACATAGGGACTCATATACACACATAGGCACACAAAGGTTGAACTTGATGGACATGTGTCTTTATTCAACCTCAAATACTATGTAACTATGCAATTTGTTATTTGTGTACATCACATATGCACATATTTCACCACAGAGCTGACTGATCCATATTGAACACAGTTATCAGTATGTACAAATATTTTATTTACCACTGAATACAAAGATGGGTTCTGTCTGAGCTACGAGTCAGCAAACGTGTTAGTGAGTACTGTCACATGCATTCTGGGAGCTCTCACATGTTAGGTGTTCTTATGTGGAGGAAGATTAATTAAAAATGATTTAGGACCATACTATGAGTTAGAACTAGAAACTTGCCTACAGTGAAGGGCCTCAAGTTCTAAATGTTGTTTATGTCCAATTAAGAAGACTTTTTCTGTCACATTTAAATACTGTATGTGTCCCTATGAGGAGATTTCCCTGACTTTCTGTTCTGGCTGCATTCATGAAATCAGGAAGTAAGGAGAACTCTCCCAAAAAGGAACAAAGACAGCGAAAAAAATTGAACCAGGTTTTAATCCTCCAAAAAAGAGTTGAGCTTCAAAACAACCTTGCTGCTAAAAAAAAAAAAATCTGGCATCTGTTCTCTGTAAAAGAATATGTTGTAAACTTACTGTTCCTGTCTAGTAGGAGGTGAATTCATTTTTCACTTTCTTGTAGAGTTGCCAATCTGCGCTTCCTGGTGCATCCGATAGTGTGTACCCACAAGAGGGTGTGCTTCTTTCTGCCAGCCCGCGGGAGGAAACGCATCGCTCAGCAGGGTACATGTTATTCAACACATCCAGAAGTGCCTGGAGCCTGTCTACAAGGTAAACTATACAACGTATTCTCTTACAGGAGGCAGCTGGTGGAATATTTTATTTTTCTAGCAACATGATCCCCTATAGGTTTGAGGGACACTTCATTCAAGAAAGATCCTAAACAACCAACTGTGTACTGTTTGCATATAAGCATACATAACTAAAGATGATTGAGCACTTTTTTTTTTTTTTTTACAACAGATGTCTTGTCATCATTCTTTTCTTATTGAATGGAGAGATGGAATAGGTTGAGGTAGATCGTGTTGGCTTGGAGTGGCTATAGATGACTCAATAATCAAAACTGATGGCTGTTTTTATAAGCATCTTATGTGACTAATTGGCCATTTTTAATTTTCTAACAGACATTAATAAGTGATTTGAGAACTTGTTTTTGCAAAATGGGATATTCCAACATTTTGATAAATTTCCATGTGCGTAGCTCCATCCTTTCCTTTGCTATAGAGCAGAAGCAAGGGTCAAAATGCTATGAGTGATATTCATCATTTCTCTCTCACAGCAAGGTAATGTCAAATAGGAGCAATGAGACAGATTTATTCTAATTGGGCAGCTCCATTAATAAATTCCTCCCTCTGTTTCTCTAAAGAAGCAATGTGACAGAATAAGAACTGACCACTTCATAATTGTGCAACTGTTGCGTGGAGAAAATATGTATCATCTTCAATGGTAATTCTGTCACAGACCTGTGCAAATCTCTCTTAGTTTCCTTCCCAGGATTTCAGGCTTAAAGGAGAACTATGAGGTGAGTGAAAATCACTCAGCCTCATAGTTGGAGCCGACGTGTGACAATGAAACTGTCACACGTCGGCTCAATAGATCGGGAAGTGAGCGAACACATACCGTCGCTCGCTCACTTCTCGATCCTGTCCCTGCAGAGAGCCGTGACTGTCACTCATGGCTCCCTGCAGGGATTCCACCCCTCCCCTGTCTAGTCCTCCATCGCTGACTGGCTGAATGGACGGGGGAGGGGGCGGGTACAGCTGGCTCTGCCTCTAGATAGGCAGAGCCAGCTGTCAATCACGCAGCTGGATGGATCCAGACAGTAATCTCGGGATCCGTCCCGGCTGCGGCGGTCTCAGTATACCGCGAGCTGTAGCTCACGGTATACTGAGCACGGGAGGACACAAACTAGCGTCCTCCCGTGACCCTAGGAAGAACTATAGGGAAAAGCACTGACCCCATAGTTCTCCTTTCAGGATTGCAAATATACATAAACACTGTTGCATAGACTTTACAAACTGACATCTTGATCTCCATCAAGCAAATATCTTGATGTGTCTTGGCCCTCGGGAGGGCACATAAATATTATCCCTGCCTGCTGTTGTCACACAAATATCTAAACATATATGGCCATCTTTAAGTCCATTCCACTTCCCCATCCAATAACCGTTAGGGGCCAATTCAATTGTTAAATCATGTGTGGTAACATCTGAAATTAAAGTACTGTAATTAATATTGATGACATGTGAAAACTTGTTTGATTCTGTCTTTGTTCTTTTTCAGTGTCCCTTTTGAAGAATCTGAAGCATGCTAACATTGTCACACTTCATGATATTATCCACACAAATTATTCTTTAACTTTAGTCTTTGAATACCTGGTAAGCGTAATATACCTAATATGTTCTAAATAAAAGATGCTAATGGAATAGTAAATTTACACAATTACAAGCTTTAGAAGAGACTCCAGTTATTGGCTGAATGTTTTTTCCATTAAGGTGTTTCTGCTTAAACCTTTCCCGCCCGCATTGTTTTATACAACCAGTTGATCTACTGTAGGTACACACATTCTTTCTTCTTCAAAGTGTTGAATGTTATACTATGTTGTTTTTTTTCAGTTAATACTCCAAATGTACTTTTAGTTGGACAGACTTACAATGAGTGTGCTTTTATATGTCATGTTGGTTTGGGGCAGATTTAATAAACTAGGCTGATTTAATTATGTTTTACTTAAAGTGTCACTAAACCCAATCCTAAAAATCAAATAGAATATTTGAGCAATATCAGTCTCGAATTCTGTACACCAAAACTCTTTTCAACACACTTGTTTTATGAGGATGGATACGCTGGCTCTACATGGTTCCATTGAATGTGGGATGTAGTCACCCTCCTTGCCGTGTTCCCGATCTGGTTTTATTTCTATGTACCATTCAGTGCTCTTTGCCATGTTCATTCAGCACAGCGCCGCCCAAAACAAAACTTAAAACTGGAAGTTCTAGGAAAGCTATTCGGTGGATAGCACGGAGGGGAGAATCAGTATGCAGAACAGAAGGAAGAATTAAACATTGTTTGCTGATTAAGATTAAGATGTATTCTTTTATAGATGATGCTGGATTAGAAACTTATTTTTAGATTGAGGGTTTAGTGATGCTTCAAAGCAGAACTGAAGTCTTATGTAGAAAAATTGCAAGGCAAAAGTGACATACAAAGATTTTTCTGCCAAAAAAAACTTCCCCCCACTCTCTCTTAGCATTCTTTTCTTTAAGAATGGACATGCGCCAGGCAGTGGATATGCCGAAAATAGATATGGCTTCTGGGGATGATATAATTCCATGCATGCACAGGAGATGTATAATTAGTGGCCATCCAATGCTCGAAGACCGTCATGGAACCAGTGGACATACTTGCACATTATGGCATATGCACACCCTCACGCAGAGAAATTTAGTTCTGCTTTAGGCTCTTCAGGATACCTTCTGTAAAACGTCCATTTTCCTAAACCCAGCAATTATAGGACACACATATACCCATTGTATGCGGTTATTACATACTCACCTGTGCTTTGGTGCATGTTCGGGGCAGGGATCCGACTCACTCCTTAGCCGTCATGTGGCTTCTCCCTCCTTGGCGGCCTAAGCCGTGAAATCTCAATTGCCAGGCGTTCGTGCAATGAGGAACACACCCGGCAAGTCTCCCGCCTCCAGGCTGAATCTTTCTAAATCCACTGACACTGCTGACAGGCACTCTCCTCACCCCTGCCTGCAGTGTTACCGACTAAAAGTTATCATAGACTTATGAATTCCGTTCCTGTTGAAGTGATGTAACTTCTACAGCGTATATATATCCTTTTGCTTTATGGACCTATGTGACATTACATGTTGCTTAAACTAACAGGGAAGCTTTGACTAGACACATATGTGATTCCAATCCTCATTAATTAAAGGGGAACTCTAAGGCAACACTTTGTCTGTAGCTGTGATCCATACTGAACCACCCTGGAATTATTACAGTGGTTGACAGTAGTTAGGAAGAATCTGGAAACTTCACAGATCATCACACCAATATTTATATTTTGCAGATTGTGTACCTCATTCACTACTTGAGGCTAAGGCTACATTCACCTAAGTGATTTATAGTTTGTACCCATGTTTTTCAAGCATTTTATGCACTACTTGTAGTACAGAAGCAGAATTGAGCATTTATTTTCATTTTTTTATAAAGACTTTTAAACATGCATAAACTCACATTTTCCAGCATTTTTCAGGACCTTCCATTAAAGTCTGTAGGGCCAAAATGCTCGATTCAGCCTGAAAAGATGCTCTGTTTTTGTTTTTTTTTAATGATGGGCGTTTTGCTACAGGCGAATGAGTGCTCGGGTGTGAACAGGCAACATACACTGAGTGGCCAGATTATTATGACCACCTGACGTTTGTAGGCAAATTAGCTATAATTAGCTATAATTTCGCGCTGAAGTTGCTAGAGGGCCAGACCATTATAAATAGGGAAGCAGGTTGTTTACCACGACAGTAGAAGTGATTTTTTTCTGAAGATATGGGTAAACAACGCAATTTAACAGCCTTTGAACGTGGGATGATTGTTGGCGCTCGGAGCCATGGAGCGAGTATCAGCAAAACAGCAGAATTTGTTAAATGTTCAAGAGAAGCTGTTGGTAAAGTGTTTAAAGACTCGACTGTCAGCCTAAAATCTGGGTCTGAATGTGCCTTCGCCGCAGTATTGAAGTCAAAAGGTGGCCCAACGAAGTACTGATGGGGTGGTCATAATAATCTGGCAACTCAGTGTAGAAAACAATGGGATTTTTAATATTGGGGGGTTTTGGTGTAGTTGGACAGGAGGTCAAAACCTTTGTGCATGCCTTGTATGCGTGAATGGGAAGGCCTTGTGTTACAGTTTAATTCCTGCATGCAACCTCAAGGGTCAGTGTGTTTGTAAATGGTAATGGTTTCCTTTCTATTTTCTTTATATCATTGCACCAGACAGGGTTGGCTTTATCTCCATACCTGTGTGCCCTAGCAATTAAGACCCATGCTATAAAATTGATAAATATTAGACATGTGCGATTCGTTTAGTTCCGAATCCAAATTCGGGCGAATTTTCTGAGATTTGGATGCATACGAATTACGAATTACAGCTAAAACGAATGCAAACGAATCCGATTTCCCGAAGTTCGTCAGCGGTAGTCCGGTTGAAATTTCGAAGTGAATCTTTTTTTTTACAGTCTGCAGAAGATGAAAACCCCAATTCATACCAGATCCTTTAGGTCTGGTAGAAATGTTAGGAGGGACCCTCCCCCAAGTTAAAACAAAAAAAAGTGCGTGGGGTTCCCCCCAAATCCTACCAGACCCTTTAGGTCTGGTAGGAATTTTAAGGGGGAACCCCAGCCCCCAAAAATGTGGGGGGGGGAACGTGGGGTCCCCCCTAACAGTCCTACCAGACCCTTGATCCGAGCACTGGCATGGCAGGGCAGGAAAGAGGGGGCACGTTCGAGCGCCCCCCCCTCCCTGCGCCTTACTAGGCCACGTGCCCTCAGCATTGGGAGGGTGTCCCCGTGCCGATGGGGACAAGGGCCTCTTCCTCACAACCCTGACCCGGTGGTTGTGGGGGTCTGCGGGCAAGGGGGCTTATTTGCATGGGGGTACCCATTTAAATAAGGGGGCGCCCAGATCCCGCCTCCCCCCTTGTGAATGAGTAAGGGGTCCCCCCCCCCCCCCTTTTCCTGCCCTGCCGGGCCAGTGCTCGCATCAAGGGTCTGGTAAGACTGTTAGGATCAAGGGTCTGGTAGCGATTTTGGGGGGAACCCCACGCACTTTTTTGTTTTAAGAATTACATTTATTTATTTTTATTCAAAAGTCAGCTTTATTATGTAAATACACGATACATGGGTAACATATATAGGTATAAACCATTCTGAATACAAGCAGTATAGCAGTAGTGGTGTGCCCATGGTGAAAGGGCAATTATCATAGGGCGAAAACAGCCCTGACGAACATATCGCGATGTATAAGCATTTTGTACTTGCATGGTTATCCAACAATTCTCAGAGTTAAGCACATCGTGCTACTCTTATAACATCCAAAATAGATAATACCAAGAAAAGGAGTAAGTTATTCGAGTTTTGATCTGTGTTCCCCCTCGCTTCGGATATCGAAACAACAGTAAATGGTGCAGGTGTGACAACTAAATAAATGGGGAGGAGGGAGGCAGACAAACAATAAATGGGGAGGAGGGAGGCAGACTGTAAAAAAAAAATTCTAATGCCACTTTGTTGCTAACGAAATTTCGGCCAATAAACGAAATTTCGACCGGACTACCGCTAACGAATTTTGTCCGAATCCCACAACGAATTCAATTGCGGATCCGAATCCGAAAAACGAAATATGCAAAATCAAAACTAAACTAAACAAATTTTTTGCTGGTGCACATGTCTATGAGTTATATAATTGGCCTGTCTCTGTGATCCCACACATATAATTTAGGTCTATATGCAGTGACCTTAATCATCTTTTTACCAGATACATACCACTTACTGCATGTTATGGCAGCCAGGAATTAATTTAGGACTCCATTAGGTCGTTTGATCAATTGACTTTAATTGATGCAACCCCAATATCCACAACGCTCTCATCATCTATTTGGGCAGAGACCATCTAATTTCTATCCAATTTGTTCTCAGTTAACATATTATTTTCCTGAGGGCATGTGTATTGTTTTAATCCTAAATCATTATTAATAAACAGTTTTTAAAATGTATAGTTATAAAAAGCATGTCTCCTTAGACCCCTTCCTGGATTACCTAATAAGCACTACTCAAATTTGGAAATGTCCCCAGAAATCTTCTAGAGTATGGGGCAAGTGATGTAGTTCCAGGTCTTCTTTTCCTTGATAATGCCTTAAAATGTTAGTTTAGGAAGGAACTCTGCAATATGAGCAAATGTGCTATATTCTTTGACAGTGGGCTTTTCTGTCACGTGCTTTTAAGTTGTCAGTTTAATTTCATTATATGTATTCTTATGAGAAACAAAATTGCTAAGCATGCTTGGTAATTATTATATTAACCACACAGTTACTTTGAATCGTGTTTATTCCAATTTTGACTCGTGTACATAATCTTCTCATGTCATTTTCTGGCAAATGCATTTGTTCAATGCTGGTTTTTTAACACTTTCTTTTTTCTCATTAAAGCAATAAAACACGTTCAAAAGTGAACTAATATTAGTGCATGTAAAGTAGTTCCTCTACAAACTGGCAAAAGACTAATTATTGTTTAAATTAAATAATATATATTTTTTATGCTTCTTTCTAGGATAGTGACCTAAAACAATACCTTGATAACTGTGGTAGCTTGATGTCAATGCACAATGTTAAGGTAGGAGTTCTAAACACAAAACATTTTTAATTATTATCTTTTGTTTGGGCCCTACGTCTTCGCAATGGCATGATTTCTGTGACCGTATGTATTCAGCTTATTGCTAGTCATCCTCTTGCTCTTTCCCATCAACTTTTCCAAGCACAACTGTCTTTTTCAATGAGTTGGTTCTTCTCATAGTATATCCAAGATAAAATAACTTCAGCCTAGCCATCTGGGCTGTTAATTAAAGGTTGGGCTTGATTTGTTGAAGGATCAATTTGTTTGTTTCCCTTGCAGTCCATGATATTTATAGAAGATCTTGCCAAACACCAAAGTTGAAAGGAATCAATATTTTTCCTGTTCTCCTTCTTATTGTCCAGCTTTCACACATATAGAGTGCACCAGAAAATACCATATGCTGGAGAATTCTGACCTTGTACTTATAAGAGGCATAGACTGGAAAAAGTTTTAATTAGGGTAGTAGAATTTGATTTTGGTGTATATGCCTCTAACCCTAGATAATTGACAGGTAAATCTTACATCATAGTAATAAATACTGTTGGGTCTTTAAAAAAAAACAAACAGAAAAAAGACTCACTGATTTACTAAAGGCAAATAGGCTGTTCACTTTCCAAGGGAATTTTCCCTTTAGCTTAGTGAATGAGGTGAAGTTCTGCTGACTTCCATCACCCAATCATTTGCAAGCAAAAATACTGGGTTTTTTCCCTTTGCTATTCAGGGCAGCCATCAGAAATTTTGGGGCCCCTTACACGGCTTTAGGCAAGACCCTCCCCCCAGGTGACCCCCACCCCTGCTCCGCCACACTGAGCCAGTCACACTGTTATTATTATACATGTATATAGCGCTGACATATACCACAGTGCTGCACAGAGAACACTGAGCCAGTTACATCAGTCAAGCTTGGAGCGGTGGAAGTAAAAAAAAAAAAAAGTGTGGTGTGCAATATAGTGAAGTGGAAAGTGTAAAATTATACAGCAATCAATGCAGAATGGCACTGGCTATAGAGGACTACTAATCCCAGCAATAATACATTATACAGCATAATGCCTAATATACCACCAGCTATAGAGGAATACAACAAATCCCAGCAACACATTATACATACAGTGTACATACATACATTTGTATATACAGCGCAATACACCATCAGCTATAGAGGAATACAACCAATCACTATCCCACAGTGACATGCAGGCACCTTCCGTGCTGGGTGAGGCATTCCCCCAGCCCTACTCCCAGCACGCCCCGCCCCAGCACACCAAAGCCCCACCCCCAGCCCATCGAAGCCCCAACCAGGTCACCAAGCTATGTGTGGAGGAGGGAAGGAGGGGGAAGGGAGGAGACAGGAAGGAGCCTCCCTGTCCCTCACTTGCTCGTCATTGGTGAGGCATCGAGATCAATGTCCTCAGTGGGGTTTTTTTCTTATTTTTGATTTGGACACCTTGGACCAATGTCGCTTTGCCATTGGTCCAAACCATCCACAGAGCTCAAGCCTCTAACAACAAGTAGAGGCTGTTGCAGCTCTGGCTTTACTATGTTAGGTTACACAGGCAGTGGGTAAGCCTGGTGTTGTGTAACCTAACTTAGCTGTCAAAAGCCAGATGCAGCACCACCTGTTATTAACAGACAGCACTCCGTCCATGACAGGTTAAACAGCGGAGAGGCTTTCCCTGCTGTGTAACCTATTACAAGCCGCTCTCAATGGAGAAAAGCTGCCAGCTTCAGAGTTGAAGCTGACAGTTTTTGCTTCCATAATACTAGGTAAGGCTCTGCCTCCCCTGACCGCACGTCCCTGCTATCCCAGCAATACATATATACAGCATGTGGGGGAAAAGTGCAGGCAGTCTTACCTGTACACTCTTCAGGCAACTTTACTTTCTTCCCCTGAGATCTTGGGACTGTCGGCAGCTGCCTTTCCCCCACGCTGCAGTCTCCCTGCAACGACCATCTTGGCGGGCAGCGGCGGGAGAGAGCTCAGAGCTGGGTGAGGCGGGGAGGAGGTGCAGTGTGGAGCTGCGAACAGGGTCAACTAATCAAAAGCCCACTAATCGATGATGGGAAACAACATTTTTCATCATCGATTTTAATCGACTTAGTCGATTAGTTGTTTTTTTTATGATAGTAAGAAAAAGCTCTAGGTCTAATGGTCTAGACCAGGGCTCAAAATTTCCACTCGCCCCCTCGCAATTGGCGAGTGAAAATTGCGTTGATCTCTGTTCTCTGTGTCACACCACTGACCTGGCGGAGTTAAGGGCGGGGCACGGTAGGGGTCAGGTGGGGCGACTGGTGGCGAGTAACTCTTAAGGCCTGGCTAGTAGCTCAGGACTTGAAATTTTGAGCCCTGGTCTAGACACTTGAAACCATAGTAAACATAGAAAATAAATTGTGCTAGTACATCTCATAAAATGTGTACATATAGAAAATCCTATGTTAAATCTCACAAGTGATGTACAACTCCCTCTTAATCAACATAACCATATGTGAAGTCCATTACTTCTTGATACAATAAAGTCCTTGAAATATGTGAGTATATATCTTCCAACTTTTATAATCAACACCACGTCCGTGAATGCATAAACAATTAGTGAATCAGTGCTCTCCAGTCTCCACCGTGTTTAAAGATCTGGCCGCACTCACCGACTCCTATTGCTCACCATATTTCAGATGAACAGTTAGCTCTTTGTATATATATAGAACCAAATCCTCTCCTTTGTTCTTAATCCGACAATAAATTGGGGTAGATTCCTCCCAACTCTGGCTTATCTTTCCAAAATCGTGTAACACTATTCCTCCATCTTCCACCTTCTCTTGTGCTCAGTGAGAGAAAAAAAGGCTTCCCATAGTGTAGTATGTCAGAATAAATTTATTTAAAACTATTGAAATACACTTACAATTAAAATAAGGCAATTGCACATGGATTGTGTGCACTGGAACTCCTGTCTCTATGATTGTAATGCTCGCATAGATCCGCCCACCTTAGCAGCCTCTGTGTCCGCAGGCCAAAGTCGTGGTCGTGGACGTGGTGCATCCTCTGCAGGCAGGGCACGCTTGGCCGTGTTATTCAGCCACAACTTACAGAAGAAGTGGTGGATTAGATAACTAAGCCATCCTCATCCTCCTCATCCTTTGTCACCCAGGTTCATACTGGTTCCCAGTCCACCGCAGCTGCCAAAGCGGCCTATTCTGTCTCCTTGTGCACAGCTACTCCTGCTCTGGCCTCACCATCATGCATGGAGGAAATGTTTGAACACACCGTCAGTGACATGCTGCTGGAGGATGCGCAGCAATTGCAATGGTCTGACATTGGCTCTGAGGTTGAGGAAGGGAGTAACATGAGCCTAGAGGGAGGGGGTGCCAATGATGGACAACAAACTGGCACTCATGTTCCGCCAGCCGCAGCATACTGCCAGTTTGGCTCCAGTGATGAGGACCGATGGGATGATGATGATGAGGTCACTGACTCTACTTAGGTGCCTGATCGAACAGAGGAGAAAAGTGAGGAGGAGGCACAACCCCAACAAGGCAAGATGTCCTCCAGGGTCATCCGTATGAGCAGTCACCCCATTGCTTCAGAAGGCAGAGCTGCACTGGTGCAGGGCACTGTTGTCTCCCAGCACACTTCCAGGAACTCAGCTGTGTGGGAGTTTTTCAGCACATGTGCAACAGACCGCAGCATTGCCATTTGCAACCTGTGTCTCAAGCGTGGCAAAAACATCAACCAGGTTCCACGTGCTTGAAGAGACATCTGACCACCAGCCCATTGGCAACAGCACCATGGAAAGGGCCACACTTCTGCTCGCTCTTCATCTGTCATCTCTACCCCCACTATACGTCATGTCATGTCAACAACCTCCACTGAGAGGGATGAAGGCATAGCAATGGTTATCCTTCCGCCAAATCTGCCAGCCCACCAGCTGTAGATTTTAGAAGTCAAATTTCGCAGCGGAAAAAAAAAAATACTGTCCCACCCATCCACATGTTCAGCGTCTAAATACCAGCTAGACCAAATTGCTAGCTTTACAGCTGCTGCCTTTCCATCTGGTGGACTCTGCCCCCTTTTGTGAGTTTGCGGGGAATGTGCTGTAACACAGTGGGAGGTTCCCAAACGCTATTTCTTTTCACGTGAGGCCATTCCAGCTCTGTAGCAGCATGTGGAAGGCAATGTTTTGGCCATGTTGAACAAGGCAGTCAGCAGCAAGGTTCACATTATTGCCGACACGTGGTCTAGCAAGCATGGTCTGGGACATTATATTTCCTTCACGGCACACTGGGTAACTCTGCTTGCAGCTGGGAGGGATCCAAGACGAGGCTCTGTGCTGGAGCTTGTTCAGCCACCATGCATCCAAAAAGCTGCTGATATGACCCCCCCTCCACCCCCTCTTCGTCCTCCTCGATGGCCTCCGCTGCAGAATTGTCCGGTGAACTAGCAATTCACCGTAAGCGTTCAAGGGGCTATGCAACCGGTCAGGCAAAAAGATGTCATGCAGTACTTGAGCTGGTTTGTCTCGGGGACAGGAGCCACACGGGGAAAAATTCTGTTCGCTCTGCAGGGGTGGTTAACATCACGGCAGTGTAACAATTGAGCAGTTGGTGTGAGAAGATCACAGCTGCGGAGCTGCTATTAAACAGGTTATTGTTACTTTTGGTGGTTCAGGTTTGGGTTCCACTATAACGCCCTATAATGGGGGAGAGTGAGCACGGAACCCATATGCATCATACACCACCAATTAATTAGTATGATTGTTACCAGTTGTGCCCCTGTATTATTCCATACAGTTGGAAGCATTAACTGACACAATGGTAAGGTAGTGGGTAACAAATTATATCAGAAACCAACAAAAAAGTCACCAGAACATCATACAGCATACACTGGGGTCTGATGAGATCTGTAGTACCAAACTGTGAACTCTCCAATAAGGATGCAGTGACTATTACAGGTTTGTTACCGACTAGTGTTCGGTTGTAGCAGGAACATCAAGTAATTGTTACATCACAAG